AGGAGGAGGAGGAGGAGGAGGAGAGGGAGAGGGAGAGGGAGAAGGAAAAGGAGAAGGAAAAGGAGAAGGAGAAGGAGAAGGAGAAAAAGAGGGAGAGGGAAAGGGAAAGGGAGAATGAGAGGGAGAGGGAGAATGAAAAGGAGAGGGAGAGGAAGAATGAGAGGGAGAGGAAGAATGAGAGGGAGAGGGAGAATGGAAAGGAAAGGGAGAGGGAGGAGGAAAGGGAGAAAGAGAAGGACAGGGAGAAAAAGGAGAAGAGGACGGAGAATGAGTAGGAATAATGACCTGGTTCCAGCTCGAGTTTTGTACCAGCCAGACAATTGTCAGTTTGGTTCAATGTTGGTGCAGGTACACGGCTGTCGTGGACTTCAGCATCAGAGTCATTTGAAGACACTGGAGCAGGGTTTGCCGTTGGCGCTGTCATGACAAGACAACGTTTTATCCTCGAAGATATATTAGGGACCAAATATGGGGTAAGGGGGTTATGTGCAGGTACCCTTGACCCCGACGAGGAGGGCTGATCCATATTCGAAGTTTGAGCTGAGAAAAAAAGATAAGACGTAAAAACCAATTGATTACTTTTATCATTTGAATTAGAACTAGCTCATCTTTTTGAGTCAGCTTTATTTATGTTGTGGTAAAAAAAAGTTGGGAATAATGTAGACCGGTAATCCTTTCAGAGAAATGTTTGATGATTGTTCATGTTCACCGGGAAAAAAATCACCCACATTACCAACATAATCCCCCTCCCCCTTTTTTTTTGTTGTTGCCCAGGACACAATTCGTATATCACTTGCGGTGGTCTGCTTCGACCCTGCCTGTTACTGTAAGGATAGGAAGAAAGATACAACATACAAATAGAAAGACGACGATACTCAAGAAAAGGGCTTCCACAAGCAGGAAGGCAACTCATGTCTTTGGTTTACTACTCAGAGGAATAAATAAAAAAGCACAGTGTATTCAGGTTCGTGTAGCCCTTGAGGTCCCATTTGTTTTGCGATTGTTTGACATGGCTTTTCATCGGTTTTCAGCTTTCAACACTGTAAGTTTATTTGAAAGGAGAGACCTCCAAATTAATGATTAGTCATCTCCAATACAACCGAGACAAGAAGGTGAGGAGCCCTGACAATTCTTAGAACAACCCAAATTCAAGAACACCCTTTAGGGATTCGAATCAAGGTCATCAGTGGCGTTGGTGACTTAGCAGTTAAGTTCCCGGACTTTCAACCGTAAGGTCGTAGGCTTGAATCCCATCAGAGGCCCGACATTGTGTCAGTGGGAAAGGCATTTTACATACATTTTTCTCACTTCACCCGAGATTGAATGAGTACTCGATTAAAGACAGCAACATATTTGGTCAGTCTGTGAGTGTTTGAGCGAATACAATTTGCAGCTTGCGCTGAATACTTTTTTGGAAGAAAAGAATGTGTCTAAGTATTCTAGGGTCTGCTGGTGTAATACAAGTTGTAAAGCGCATAGAGCATGATGTAGATCGCGGATATGTGGATAAGCACTACATAAATACAATAGTTACTACTACTAATAATAGTAATAATAGAAAAA